CGGCGGCGGGGGGACTGCAGTGGCCGTCTCTGCAGCCGCCACAGGTCCTGCGCTCCGCAGCGCCCGGCTCGCGCTCCGCTTTGACGTGCGCGTGCAGCGCGCGGTGGATCACGTTGTGCAGCCGGGCCCTGTGGCCCACCGTCAGGTCGATGACGCCGTCCTGCGGACCCTGCAGCACGCCCGGGAAGCCGAGCTGGCCGCCTGCTCCCGAGGGGCTGCCGGCGCGCCGCGTCAAGTCCACCACCTCGCTACGGCCGTGCTCCGCAGGCGCCAGGCTCAGGGCCTGCCCGGAACAGCCGGGTGGCGAGTCCGACGACTTGGAGGAGCCCTGTTTGGAATCCCGGGGGGACAGGGAGTGTCCGCCTGGCTTGCCTCCGGCCGACGAGGAGTCGCCAGGGGCGCTCGGAATGAAGTTCTCCCCGTTGCTGGAGAATCCATTGGGAGGCTTGGAATCATTGACGTGAGGGATGGGGATGGGGATGGGGATGGGCACCGGAAGGGGCACGATCACGGGGTATGGCACGAGCAAGGTGGGAGGTGGCACCAGCGGGGCTAGCGAAGGTAGCCCAAAGTTCATCATCTGGGGCACGGGCATCGGGCCATTTGGCATCATGCTCACGGGAGGGAAGGGGAGACTAGGCAATGGGGCACCCGGGGGAGGCGGGGGCAGCAGGCCTGGGGGGTTCCCGGGCATGGTCGGGGTGCTTGGAGGGTGGATGTGGGGTGACAGCATGGGCCGGTGCATGGGGCTGGAGGTGGGGCCCAGGTTCCGGGGGCCGCCGGGTGGGGGCCCGATGCCAGGGAGCATGGGGTTGGACAGAGGGCTGTTGGGGTTGGAGGCGTGGTGCGGCGGCCCCCGAATGAAGGGCGGGCGGATCTGCTGCATGATCTGCTGTTCCATGAAGATGGGGAGCGGCACTGGGCCCCGGTTGGTCATCACCATGGGAGGGCTGCGAGGCGGGACCCCCAGGGGAGGCCCAATGCTAGCAGGTGGCTGAACGGAGACAGGAGGGATGTTTGGCGTCTCACTGATGGGCATGGACTTGGGCACTGGCGTGGGGATTTTAGTAACAGAGCAGTTGGCAGTGTCGGATGGAGAGACGGTGGTGGACGCCGATGGACCAGGGCCCTGGCTTTGGCCAGCTGCAGCCACGGGGGAGGGGGCCTTCCTCCGAGCATCTGTTAGAGGGATATTCCAAGAGTCGGGAGTGAGCAGCTGCACCCCGGTGCCTTCTGCTTTATTTTCCATGGGAGGGTGTAATGTACTGCACAGCCCAGCTGGAAGGTTGGCCTGTGTCTCTTTGTAGAAAATGTCCATTTTGTATTGATTGAGACATTTTGCACTGCAGAACTGAAGCCTTCTTTCCCCGTCCCCAAAATCCAGGTATTCTTTTGTGTGTCTTATGTGCTTACACCAGTCACATACCTACAACAATTTAAAAAAGAAAGTAAGATAAGCAGTTTCCTATAGTGGATGGAGTTTCATGTTTCACACAAAGGTTCTTTCAAAATGTACCACAATTTTTTGAACAGGTTCAAGTGTTTCCATCTAAAAGGTAAAACTCTGAAATATCTGTAAATTTATTCTTGGAATCCAGAATTGCTTCATAAAGATAAACTCTTTAGAACAGCAACTATCACCATTTTCCATTTCAAATCTATATCCTAAGAAACTGTGTCGTCCCCTTTAAGCATGACTAAGGTAGGTATGACAAAAAGGAGGACATACACCTCCCACACGTTTTCACTTGTCAAAGAATTCATTGTCAATGCAAACCTAACTAGCTCTGAAGAGGATTCTCCAAAAAGTTCAGTCAACTTTGAAATATAGCCCCCGAAAATTCTCCCCTATGCAAAGTCATTTTACACTATTGACTGTGTTCGATAATGCAGTTGGAAAGGGTGTGCTATGTTAACCAATAACACAAAGCGCTGAACATCATTATGTCTGGCTTTCAAAGGGAAACTTGGAATTAGTCATGAATTCTGTGTGAGGCTTAGCTATTCCCAACCTGTGATGTTGCAGCAAGCTAGAATTATTTTTTGAGCTGTTTGCCCACTCTCTCTCAGTAGTCAGAATTTTTGGTGACACTTCTTGGCAGGCAGTCTTATTTAACAACTTTTCAAACACCAGAGAACGTTTTCCAAAAGTTGTTATGGCTTTTCCCCCCCTTCAAATCTACTCCTGGCAAAAGAAAGACATCACCAAATTTATTTTAAAGTTGGGCTGCAGAACTAATTAAAGGCTGAGAGCTTTTCCCAATTGGAAATCACTAGACATCAAAGTTCAAAAAATAGTCATTCTCAGCTTCAGAACCCATTACTTTGGAGAAATTATTGTGATTTCATTAACACATTAATTTTGCAACACCATCAGCTCTCACAGATGGTGAAGACATGATCTACAATTCAAATATGACTCTTGTTTGCACAAATGTCTTTCCTTCATATGGCATTTTAAACAAGAATTAATATGAGTAATCTTGCCATAGCTATAAACAGATAAACAGATGTCAAAATTTTCAATAGTTCTTTCATTGCCTTACTTTTTGAGTGAACATTACACACAGATATTTTTTCTTTTTCTTTCTTTCTTTTTCTTTTTCTTTTTCTTTTTTTTTTTGGTCATTTTCTCAGCACTCAAACCACAGAGCAGCAGAAAAAGAATTCTGAAACAGTGCAGTGGTGAGTTTACTAAATTAGCGTCTCTCAGTAAAGTAGTAGTGCTCTAAATGGAATCCATTTTTAGTGGAGATAGCGTCTGTTGTTCTGTTATTGGAGTGTGTTGTTCTTTAACAGTATACTGATAGCATTAAAAGATAATAAATTTTAATAATGATTGGTCACATAAACAATACAAAAACAACATATGCTGGGCACTTGAGTACTCATCTCATTTAACTCTCAGCTTTCCTCGGTTATAAACAGTGGTGGCATACAATTTGGGACTGCGGGAGCATGCTTTCACAGCGAATGTGGGTCTGTATGTGTAAATCCATTCTTCCTTCGCACATTTTTTCCATGATATTTGCAGGTAATATATTTGACAGTGTGAGTGAATTAACTCAAACTTACAGTAAATTTTTGTTTGGTCTCATAAGATTGCTCTTTTAAAAATACTTGTTGCAAATCAAATAATTTCATTGCTAATATATCTCATGTCTCACTAAAGTATTTCAGGTCTCACCAGAATTAAAGGAATTTTTTGGTATCATAGCTGAAGTGTGGTGTGAAATTACCTCTGATAAGCTGAGAAAGAATTCATTGGTCCTTCAAAATTCTTGTCTAGAGAAAGGCTTAATGAACTAGTAGTGAAAACTTTATTCAAGTAAGCTATTTTTAAAATCTGTTCATTTTTAAAGTTAATATATAGTTACATATCACTCAAATTTCAATATGAAATAAACCACTTGATTAAATTTTAATATTATGCATCCATAGAAAGACTAAAATAAGCTTAAAGGGGATCAAATATAACTTCTTTAATCATAAATTTAAAAAAATTATCAATGAATTAAACTAATTGAAATAATATGCCAAATTTTTTGGCATACTTCTTTTGGATCTTAGTATTTAACCATAAGGGAGAAGAGTTTTCTGAAATCCTTAATTGGTTTTTAAATTGCCAGATTGAATTATTTGCCTCCAGAGGATTCCTCTGTTTCCTCAACCTAAATAAATATTTTCAAGTAGAGTCAAAAAATAATCTAAATATGAATTAAATGTTCTTCCTTCACTTTCAATAACTCACTAATGGATAAGGAATGCTCATAGATCTACCCTAATTATCAATGGGAATTCTCTACCATCTTTTATCTATTTTCCCATAAAAAGGAATTCAGACATCAAGGTCTGAAGCCAAGATTTATTTCATCATACTTTCCAGTTCAAGCAAAGTTCTCATGATTAACTAGTCGATTGCAGTGTCCCAAAATGTCCAGGCCGTAGCGTGACAGTGTGTGACTATCCTGTTTTGGGTAATGTGAGTGTGAGTGTGTGTCTCCCTATACACATTAACTATTACATCTCCCTATACACATTAACTGTTACATTTCCATTCGGAACACTGATCTAAAAATACAGAAGAGTAATCTTTCTGATGAAGCAAAAAAAAATTATTTAGGGGAAAAAAAAGTCACTTAAGAAATAATGAATCAAGTCTGTCTTTCAGGACACATCATTTCCAACGAGGTCAATGAATTTATGGCACAAATGGCTGTATCAAGTGAGGCAATAAAAGCACTACCATCACTCTCTCTACATCTAACTAATGATCACTTTTAGTAATTAAAGATTTCATCACAAGAGCCTGAGCTGATTACTTAAGATGTGGTAGTTAGGTGAAAATATATACTGTATTGCTCTCTCTTTAACAAAATAACATTTGCATGCCCATGAAATACACAGCATGTGTCTCATAAACTATGGTTTTCTGAATTGTGGTGTTAGAGGGTACTCTTCGCATCTTTTTCCACAGATGGCTTTAATTTTTTTTTTAACTTTTCAAGGCATTATTTTTTTCCTCATTATGCCAAGAAGTACCAAAATTCCTTTAGATATTTTAAAAGATAAAGATTTAGAAGTACAGAGCTCAATTCACTGGGCTATGCTATGGTTACCCCTAATTCCAGCCCGGCTTTGTTTCTGTTGGAATCTGGCCCCTTTGGTTCCACTTCTTTCCCTAACAGGTCCCAGATTGGACAGAGCTGAGGCTGAAGCTGTTTAACGATGGCAATCTGGGACCTAACAATCAACTAATGCGATGCCATTGAGCGAGACAGCTGAAATGCTTCCTATCACAAACACACAATGTATCACTAGAAAGACAAAAAGATCACAAAGGAGATAAACAAATGCATATTCCATTCAACCCTATAACAGCCGTGCTCAAAAAAGATTAAATTTACCTTCCTGGGATGTGTCCAATTCTAAACAACAGAATGAACGTTTCCTTTAGTCCATTTAGAGTATTTATATTTGGGTGGCTGGCTGCCAGGGCAGTACTTATAAGCTCAGTGGCCTGATGGGTTCACTCCTTTCCTGTGAAATAAATGTGTGGCAACCTACACCACTAACTGCTCAAAAGACACTGCCTCAGCAGAAATATCACTTGCTCGTGATATAGGAAAACTGAAAAGCAGGACTTCTGGTTCCTATAACTCTTTCCATCTTGTATTTCCCCTCGAAAGAAAGAAAACTATTCATGTTGGCAACTGAGCTTTTATTATATAAACGTTCAAAGTCAAAACCAAAGTATGCCATGAGGTTACCCACATGAGCACAATACACACACACACACACACATTCTGCTGGGCCTGAGAGAAGATTTGGGTGACTGGGGGCTGGGGGAGTCCTAATTAACACATTAATCAGTTGTCTGCTGTGGCAATGAGTTCCTTTAATGAAACCCACTGCTGCCTTCTGAGTGGTAATCTGGCATTAGGCAATATTTAATTAGGAAACCCCTTTACTGAAATCTTATCTGGGCAAAGGCATTTGCAGAAATGGAACAGTAAAATGATATTATCAATTCCTTGAAAGCCATCAACAATTTGAAAAGCAAAACAGACTTTTCATGTGCTCCTGATTTTCCATGAATATAGCACCTAGGTAACAGCTCAGAAGTTACAGTTCCTTAAACAAAATTATAGTTTGCCACAGACTGGTTTTCTTGGAATATGGCATTAACCTTGCAATCCAGGCCACCTCAATGAGACCATGGGCTCCTGCAAGACTGAAGGAAAGGAAAGTAGAAGCAGAGAGGGCTGGTCACAGTGTTCACAGGGTTTGGGGCTCTGTCTTATCTACAGATAGTTAACTGATAGCATAAACTGAGGGTCTCAGACTACCCCACATGAACACTTGATTCCAGCCCAACCCTGCACCACAGTCCCTCTGCATTTCCCACCACCGCTGTCAGGCTGAGATCTATGCAGAGGATGCTATGGGAGGCAAGTGGAGCCTGGACTCCATGGTGTGCCTCTGAGTCTGGGCTCCACTCTCCGCTAGCATCCGGCCTTATGGAAATCTCCGCTTCAGTTCCTTCATCTGTGAAATGCTTACCTGCCAGGTTTATCACTAAGCTATCACTCGTGCACTTTTTCATTCCTCAGTCTTCCTTCCTGATGGTCACTGAAGTCCCCAAAACATCCCACATGGTTAAATTCATCTTAAATTTAATGGGAGAGTGCTTTTAGGACAGTGTGTAATTCTCGTCCACACTCTTATGAATCTGTGTTTCTGAGATAGGATGGCAAGCACAGGCTGCCCCTCACACACACCAGGCCACCCTCACCACCCCCATTCTGCTTTCGACGTGGCTCTGTCTCGGGGGCAATAGAGGGGACGTCTGCAATGACACAGGGTAGTCCTGGCTGCCCATCATCCTGGGAAGGTTCCATTCAATGCCTGCTGAAAAACCTCTTC